TGAGTATTCCATTCTAAGAAACATCAGCTAGTTATCATATTTTAAATTTATGGAACATTTGTAACTGCTGTTATATCAGGAAAAATATTAAATCTGCACAATAAGTACAAACTTTATATGAGAAAGTATACTTGTAAGTGCATTATGATCTCCTGATGTCCGCTGAGGCACTCACTTCCACAAAAGACACAGACATCACCTCTGGGGATAAACTCAACCACCCCAGAAAGTACAACTCAGTTAAAAAATAAAAATAAAAACAACTAATAGAAAAGCAAACCAAAAAAACCTCTCCACTCCATTGGCTGGAAAATGCAGATAAGCGTCTGTTTTTAAACTAGGAGAGTGGTTGAGAACCCCATCTTCCAAAAAAATGCTTTAAAAGCCCATAATACCAACAAGAGAACATATTATTCCTCCCAAGCGTGGTTTAAACTGTGCAGAAACAAATTTTGTTTATCACGGGCATATACGCTTTGAAGTACATCTCCGTTTCTCTAGAGGAAAAAGGGGCATTTAGGCTAGTATAACAGAATCCAAACCATTCAGAATATAAAATAAATTAAAACCTACTGATTCGAAGATGTTAACAGTGAATGGCCAGAGAAAGAGAACATCTATATCTAAAATGAAAGATATGTTTTATCCTGTCTGTCCTCCTCCAACTTTAAAATATTCTGACTGTAAGAAATAGCAGACACCAAGTGGGACGTGCCTGTATTTCGATCTAGGCCAGCACGGTCCAACTGGCGCCCATCGGCTGAATCTGGACCACAGGATGCCTCCATATGGCCTGCCACCTTTTCCTTGGAGGAGATAGGGAACAGCTGTTTGAGGAGCAAATGCTGCCCGAACAGCCAAACACCTCCTCCTGTGTCCGGCTGGCTCAGAGCCCAGAGCTGTCGCCGTGTTCCTGTGGAAGGCAAGGAAGAAACAGGAAAAGAAGGCAGCAGACCTCCTACCCACGCAAAGACTTGAGCTTTTCATTTGTCTGAGATGGACAGATGCAACCCAGCGAAGCCTGTAGCTGCTTCTGTGATGGAGAGGGGCAGCCACAGGCATGGCCCAACGAAGCCACAGGATCTGCCATCATAGCTTGGGGTGGGATATACCAGAACTGACACAAAAATCAGGAGTTTGGCACGTGTTTGCAAAGTTTAAACCACCTTACAGTAGATACACTAAGTGGTACATACAAGCATACAGTCAATCTTCAGTTTGCTGCCAGCAAAACAGATTAATATAATGTTTTGGCCCTCAGAGAGAAAAAACACAGAAAGGCATAAATATATTCCATTATTAAGTGCCTATTGATTTATTATTGATCAAGTAGAACAACTCAAGCATTGAAATTCAGACAAAACTCTAAATAGCAACACTACTTACCTTCGTAACTGCCCACTCAACGGAATTTTAAATCTCTCCTTAAGCTGACGTGTATAGTAGACAAGTAAACAAAAGGGAAAGATTTTATAGGGTTTACAACTGTGCCATCTTTCTTCCACCCATTTTTTACAGTGTCACTGACATCAGTCTTGGAAAAAGCTATTCGATGCCAATGAGCATAAATCAAGTAGTGGGGGGAAACTAAGAACCTGAAGGACCTACCTGGTACACGATCAAAACTGTATTCTGCTTTCAAATACATTTGCTTTTGACTGCATATTAGTTAATCTCCTCAGACAAATTAAAGTATTCTCTATTATATCAACTTAAAAATAATAATTTCCAAAGATGTGAATAGTTTAGAGTGCTTTAAAAGGCAGCATACTTGTCTGCATTCAACTCAACCATTATTTAGCACATTAAAGTTAAATGGGGTATCTTAAAGCCAAGTACAGAGAGAGACCAGACGTTCTACTTCACGCTGACCTGGAAAATCATATGCTTATTGGAACAGGATAGATTAGAAAGAGTACAGAAAAATAACCAAGAGCGGCATAAGTCATATTGAAAGTATCATCACAACTTCAAAAATTGGTGTCAAAATTAAGCCAGAGATGTGAAATCTCACCTAATATACCCAATATTGAAGAGTCAAGTGTGATACCAGATTTTAAAGATGCTATAATATTATTTTGAGATCTAGAACTTAGTGTTAAAATGTCCTAACTAAAACGCTATTCCAGTTCCCAGCAGCTAATAACTGGATTTTAGAATTTCATTCACACCAAATCAATTAGTCAAATTTTATATGAATAATAAATTGAATTTAGTATCTGATCAAAGGGATTACAGCCTCCAGGAAATTCAGTTCTCTGTCCAATAATGCAAACAAACAGATCAAAACATCTTTGAATAATTATTGCAAGATTTGTATTCGCAATGGGACTACAATAACACTTTCACAAGCACTGTCCAGATGTCAATACATACTGGTCAGAAAACTGTTATGGGAGTGTTTCCGTGGAGCACTGGATACAAAGCAGATACTACTTAAAAGCACTAAATAGATTCTATTGGGGAAAAAACCAAAGTGTGATTCATGGGGCAGCTTCTGCCTTCTTGAGTAACAGTAGCTTGACAGAAGGCAAAGAAATCATTTGCAAGTATTTGCTCATTAACTTAGCAAAGAAACATAAAACGGAGTCAAAGAAAATTAAATTTACTTGCTAAAATGTTAAACATGCAACTTTGCTTTTGCCAATTGGTTTAATTCTAAAATTCTTCCTTACTGACTTCTCTTATACAGGGGAGCCCAGAGTGGACACAGTTCTGGTGTGACCTCACCAGTACCGAGTGGAATGGAAGGATCACCTCTATCGACCTGCTAACACTTCCTCTAATACAGCCCAGGATGCCATTAGCCCTTTCAGCTGCATGGGCACATTGCTGGCTCATGTTCAACTTGGCCCCCAACATCTTCATGGGATTATTCCACCCCAGGCACAGGACTTTGTGCTTCTTGTTGAACCTCAACTACTGTCAGCCTATTTCTCCAGCTTGTTATGGTCCCACTGGATGACACCTTCCCAGGGACCCATGTGAGGCTGACAGGGTTATAAACCCCTGGGTTCTTCCTGCCCTTCCTAAGGACAGAAGTAGCATTCCCTTTCCCCCAGTCCTCAGACACCTCTCCCCAGTTGCCATGGTTGTTCAAAGATCACTGAGTCACCTCACAAGAACATCAGCCAGCTTCCTCAGCACTTTTCGGTGCATCCCACCAGGGCCCATGGACTTGTGTATGTCCAGTTTGCTTAACCATTCCATGACCTGATCCTCTTCCAGCAAGGGTACATTTTTCTTACTCCAGCCTTTCCTCCTAGTGTCTGGGACCTCAGGTTCCTGAAGGCCAGTCTTGCTAGTAAAAACTGAGGCAAAAGCGGCATTCAGGACCTCAGCTTTTTCCACGTGCTGTGTCACCAGGTCCCCTGTCTCATTCAGCAGCAGGCCCACATTTTCCCCAGTCTTCCTTTGTCACCTATGCACTTAGAGAAATCCTTTTGTTTGTCTTTGTCGTCCCTTGCCAGGTTCAATT